GAATATTAATCGTACAGTGTAATATTCATTTTTCATGAAGATGCATTTGTTGAACTGATCTAACGTGTTCGCTCTCAGACATCGCGTATGGCATAATAAGCGCTATTATGTATAAGCGTATTGAAGATCGAGTGAAGTACAGTCGCATGTAAAATTATCCGAGTGCTTGTTTTGATGTGTTGATGCTTATTAGTACTACAATCCCAAATTAAATAAATTTAAAGATATTAGGAATTGCAAAATACTTGACAGAAAATGTTTGATAATGAATTTAATTCATCTTACGAATGAGTCTCAATAATCTGTAGGATTCTTGTCTTTTTTATTTACACTGTACACTAATTAAATATAATACCACGGATTTTAGTTTCGACTTCAAAAAAAGAAATCCTAGTCCTATGAAATTCGAATTTGAAATTTCAATTTTTTACATTGGAGATTGATAGATATAAGTCACGTATAATATAATAAATTAGGATAATTAACGTTTACGTAAGAAGATTGGAAAGAAAATTGCAAGAAAATCACGTTAATTATAAAAAATTCGATATTACACTTCTTTGTGACATTTCGTTTGTTGTTACTTTGATGTTTATTAATAAACCTCAATAGTTCAACAGGAACATTTACAACATTTTCAACATAATGCTTAATACTGATATTCATGCTATACACTATTTTTTAACTACCTAATTTTCAAACTTTATCAACGTCATCAAATACATTTATTACAATTAAATAACAGAATTTGATTAAATGCTAAATCTGAGAAGACCCTGTGTAAGTAGATTCTGCTACATTCGAATTTGGTTTGAATATCTTTTTAGAAGAGAAAGAATCAATTAACACTTTCTGCTTCAAATCTACTTTCGAAGATATAACTTAAATAATTGAAAGGTCACAAGATCGCTCCTTTGCGTCCAACATTGAAGATCACTTGCAAAATCAAAAATTCCTGGAAATCTGTTAACTTAATAAGAACTTCTCGCGTAGGCAGACCCGTTGTCGCAGCATCTATTTCTGCTAGAACCCGAGAGATGGCGACCGCTGAGGGTCAAACTGTCGCCAATATTCACATCCGGCAAGCTGAAAGAGATGTTCCCGCTTGTGATGGAGTGCGCGGGAAATTTGGAAAAATATCTGGACAAAATAACGGAGAACGAAGTGCCGGTAGAATGCCGCGACTTGGTTGCGAAATTCACGATCGACGTGATCGGTAGCTGCGTGTTCGGCATCAGCGCGCACGCTCTCGAAGACGAGAACAGCGAGTTTCGAAAAATGGGCAAAAGGATCAATACGCCAAGTACGAAACAGAGGATTCGCGAGACCATTATGCAGTTCATGCCGTCGGTGTATGAGATGATCGGCCATTTCTTGCAAATGAAGGACATAGACGCGTTTTTCATAAATCTGGTACGCGGCACGATAAGATACAGAAAGGAGAATAACGTGACTAGGCCGGACTTCATTCACATGTTGATGGAATTGAAAGAACACCCGGAGAAGGTAGATAGTATTGGTGAGTGAACAGAATGTCGTTTGTTCAAATAGAATTTTGATAACACGTCGTTCCCTCGTAATATTATGTAATTTAATCTATCGTCTTTATATGATTTAAACTAACCGTCTTTTATTCGTTCGTTGTTTTAAATTTACAGAAATTCAAACATTTTTCGGGTAACGTTAAAAGTTCGTTAAAATAAAAATTTTCCATTTCCTGCCAAAATTCCTTCTTTCTTAGTTATATTTTCAAACATGTGAAAAATACAGACGAATAATTAATATTTAATTTACTTAAGCAAGTAATTGATATTTTTGATACAAGTGCTAATTACGTGTAATAAGGGTATCGTACTTTATAGAATTAACCGACACTTTGCTCACCGCGCAAGCATTTGTCTTTTTCGTTGCTGGATTTGAAACCTCTTCGTCGACGATGGCGCACACGCTTTACGAATTAGCGCAAAACCACGAAATACAAGATAAATTGCGACAAGAAATTCGAGATGTGTACAGCAAGAATGATGGAAATCTGACGTACGCAGATGTCAAAGGAATGAGTTACTTGGACAAAGTGTTTAAAGGTGCGCATGAAAAACGTGTTTTCCACGGAAATTTTACTGTTTTAATGATACTCTTTAAAGACAAACATTAAAAAATATCCTATAAATGTAAAATAAATATTCTGTGTATATATTCGCAATTTAATTGCACTTTCAAAAATCAGCATCATCTACTAATCTCCGAACTCAAATTGTCCATTTTTTTTTTTTTTTTTTTTTTTTTTTGACAGAAACGTTAAGAAAATACCCGATATTGCCCATGTTGAACAGAAGAGCAATAGATAATTACACGTTCAGAAACATGAAAATTACTATACCGAAAGGAACAAAAATATGGGTACCAGTGTACGGGATTCAACACGATCCGAATATTTATCCGGATCCTGAGATATTCGATCCGGAGAGATTCAACGACGATGCTGTTGCTGCTAGACATCTTATGAGCTTCCTACCTTTCGGCGACGGGCCGAGGAATTGCATTGGTATTTGAACAAAATACATTGATATTGGTTCATGATGTGAAATGACAATTTTCTTTCATAAGAAAAAATTATTACGCATTTATTCAAAACTTGATAAATTCAATGTTATCAAGAAATCCTTCATTCAAATCAATGGTAAACTTTAAGGGGCAAAAGAGAAATTTTCAATCTTGGTTTCAGTCATGGAAAAGAATTTTTTCAATGTCTTCTGAGAGGAATTAAATTTTGACAATTCGAGAACAATGATCAAAGAGCTAGAGAATTTTTTTATTTCATAGAACTTTTATTGTAAAACTTCTATAAATTTCTATCTTGCAGGATAATTTTTGAAAATTACTTTCAGGGGCTCGGTTCGCGCATTACCAAAGCAAGGTTGGTCTCGCAACGATTCTCCGCAATTACAAAGTCGACGTTTGTGAGAAAACCATGATCCCGTATGAAGTAAATAAATTTTCTTTTCTTATGCAGCCTAATGGAGGAATAAATTTAAAATTAACTAAAGCGTAAAGTTGATTTAAAAATAATTAATTTTATTACGTAAAAATTAATGCAAATAATTTCTGCGTTATATCACAAATTTTGCAATTATTATAAATAAAGTTTTATCATCGCAATAACTACATAAAAGAGTATATATATATATAT